GGGCGGGTGTTTTGTTTGTTTGTTTATTTTTCTCACTTTAGAGCATGAAATTGCCCTTGCAGAGCTGCTGTGGTACTTGTTAGTGGTTCAAGACTTCTTGTCTCTACCTTCATGGAAACACTGGGCAGTACTTAAAGTTCATCAGTATTCAGAGAACTAGCTGGCTTTGGTTTAGACATAGCTCCTCTTTTATAGATTGTGGCAGTGTGTTGCTGGGAAAAGTAAAGATAGTGAGGGGGGTGTTGTCTTAACCTATATGGAAAGAGTAATTTCAGAGTAGGCTTTTTTGAGTTCCCTTTAACATGAAAATAGCTGCAAGAAGATCCTTAAACCTGCTCTGGAGTTCCTCTGTTTTAGTGTCTTTGATTCTCAACATGGAAAATGCTACTCTGTTCTCCCCCTGCCTCATCCCCCATTGGTAATGTCATTTAATCTGAATGCTTAAAAAAAGTGTACTCAAGGTTTCATATAGGGTTGAAGTGCTTTTTGTAGTTCTAACCCAGAAAATGCTGGGGTTTTCTTAGAGTAGCATGCTTGCTTGTTTGGTTGTTTTTTAATCCTGCCTCCCCTCTTCTCCTCCCCCCCCCCGCAAAAGGTATTGTCTACAGTTTGCCTTGATATGCTTTACTTGGTTTTTAGGGGTATTTTGACTAGAAATAGGGTTTGTTGTTTTTTTTTTAACACCTTGCTCTTTTACCTGAGATGCTAGCAAGTCATAATTGATAAAAAGCTGAAAACTAATGGGGTTGTGACAGAAGGAAAAATTCCTAGTGTTGCTGGTCTTTTTCTCCAGCTATATATAGACTCTGATGTCTGGGAAAGAAATTACTAGTTAATTGCACAAGGAGATATGCAAATTTACCACTAGTCTGTCTTGATCTTGACCCAGATGTTCAGATTTCTTGTTAAAATGGAATTGTATTTACACCTTTGAGTAAGGCTTTAATGTTATGTTCGTGTTCCCCCTTTTTTTTATGTCTAGAGATTTGCCCACTTGGTAACTTTATTCTAGCATTAATTGTCTGTCAGTCTCTTAAAGACACCTAGAAACAGACTGAAATTTCAAAAATGCCTCTTAAGGAGAGGTAATTAGCAAGTCCATCTCTCCATATGGTTTGTATTGCATAGAGAATGGGAAATTTTAAAGGGCTGTGTGTTTTGTCATTGGTCTTCATCATTAAGGAAAAACTTCCTCTTCCCCCCCCGCCCCCCTTTCTTTTTTTTTTTTCCCCTCTTTTGTAGGGTATATTTGTCCAGTTAGTTCAGGCAAACTCTCCAGCATCCCTCGCTGGTCTGCGGTTTGGGGACCAAGTTCTGCAGATCAATGGTGAAAACTGCGCAGGATGGAGTTCTGATAAAGCACATAAAGTTCTGAAACAGGCTTCTGGAGAAAGGATCTCAATGATCATTCGGGACAGGTAAAGCCAGCTGCAGATACAGATTGTCATTATCCATCTCGGAGTAATTCTGTGGGGTTTGGATCTCCCCTTGCTTGAGCAGCACTGCAGGCATAACAAAATCTGTTTGTCCATGTACTTCAGTAGTAGAGATCCTCAGAAATGTTGCCTTCTGTGGGTAACATGCAAAAGAGTTGTTAACTTGTAAACTTCCAGTGCACACGTCCCTGGGCATGATGTGGCATAACATTTTTTCAAGGTAAATAATACAAGTCAAATTTAAACTCCAAATTCAAGAGGTTTTTTTTTTTTTTTTTTTTTGGACACAACTTGATTTTTCCTTATACTAATTGAAAAAGCAATAAAAGATGTTACCAAAGTATTTGCTGTATTAATGAAAACACTTGCATTTTTATTTAGCATGCTGATTTTCTTGTGAACCCTGTTGCTTACATATGAATTAATGCCAGTTTTGATAAAGTATGCTGATGAACTAATACAGATTTTTAATTGTATTAAATAATGAGCTTGTAGCTAGGTGCATGTAGTAATAGGTCAGATTCAACATAAGGTCTGTAGGCTGTGAGAAGATGGAGGATACATGATATGACTAGGTATACGTCCTGAAGCTTTTTCAACGTTCATTCTTGTTTAAGAACCAAGTTTGACCCAGTGGAGGGCATGCTGCTTCTCTCGGGGCAGCTACTTCTGTCATATATTGAATCAAAATACTGTGGTAGGAGATTCCGTGCTCTGTCTACCACTTCTGTGTCCAACTCCCCAACCCCTTGCTGGATTTACTAACATTTTAATACACAACTTAAAGGTTATTGTCTGTAAAGCAGTAGAATTATTTTTGGGGAAGCCTTGTACTCCAGAATCTGGGATCTACCTACAGTTGTTAAAACTGCCTGCACTATTTTAGCTACTTTGTAACACTCGTAGATAAGACTTATTTTTTAATGGCCATTTTTGTATTGTTATTATTAATCAAGGTGGTGGAATATCTGTAGAACAGGGAAAAACATCTGAGGTTTAGAAACAAGTTTACAAATGCACTGTGACTTCAGCCTGGAAAGAGATTAAACTAGCAAATAGTAACAAGATGAATTTAAACCAAACTACTTGTTGATGTACAAACACTTTTTGCAAATCAAAGATGCTGAAGTAGTTTGTGATGCTTTCAGTGGGTTAGTGTGAAAACATATTTTTACATTTTAAATGTCTTTTATGTCTTCATAGGCCTTTTGAACGAATTATCACTATGCATAAGGACAGCACAGGGCACGTTGGTTTCATATTCAAGAATGGAAAAATAACTTCAATAGTGAAAGACAGTTCTGCTGCAAGAAATGGGCTTCTTACAGAGCACAACATCTGTGAAATTAATGGCCAGAATGTAATTGGATTGAAGGTAAAAGAAGTAGTATGTGGTGGGTGTGGCTGTGAGCTCTTTGTGTGCTTATAGTAATTGTGTTTTGGAGGGGGAAAAGGATTGTAATATGTTGCTTAATGTTCATAAAAGAAGAAAGTAAATAATGAGAGGTAACTTGATTGGAGGGACATGGATGTTTTGAGGCTTCTTTGCATTTTTGTGTCCGTAGGTAGGGCAGCTCATTCTCTTCCTCTCCGCCTCTACTTGGCTGGGCTGACACTCAGTAAATTTTATCTTTAGTCTAACTTTGGCAAAACAAAGAATAAGCTTCCTCCTGCCAGCCTCTGTCAAATTCTAGTAGGAATTCTGTGTATGACATCTGTGTCCCTTCTCTAATCAGTTTCTATAAGATACTGTAACTATGAAGTGCATCTATGAAGTGCTATTGCAGGTATTGCAGATTTTGCCCTGAAGACTAAATACTCTTAAGCAGGGAGTTGTGGGTCTCTTAAGCTACATGAAATGTGTCTAGAAAAAGCTCTTGAACTCTGCTGCTTTATAGGTTAGCTTGAGTAATGATGCTCATAGGACTTCTTGTTTAATAACAGGACCCCCAGATTGCAGACATCTTGGCAACAGCTGGAAATGTAGTGACCATTACCATCATGCCTTCCAGTATTTACGAGTATATAATAAAGAGGTAAGTAATAAAAAAAGCAGCCACGGTGTTAATTAGAATCAAGTTGACAGTAACTATTTTTGTTGGTTAAATAAAATGTATGCATGGTAAGACTTAATTACACCTAACATGAAGGCTGGAGAGAGGGTGAGAGGAGTCTGAAAATTTGCTTAATCCAATGTTTTAGTCAAACCAGTGTGTGTTGTTTCCGTTTTTAAACTATTCATATGTCAGTGATGCTCCTTTGCCTTTTTTTTCTCTCTTGAAAAAAAAGCTTTTCTAAACCTAATTTGCCTAAACTTGAGTTTCTGAGAACTTTCAAGTACGTGGATAACACAAGTATTTGTTACCTCGTAACTAAAATGCTTCTAGTGCAACTAATTCTGGTGACATAAACATGATTCTTGGCAGGATACAGTTGTTTGTCTTCCCCCCCCCCCAATCCCTTGGCAGCACTGGCTTTCTACAGCTAAATCTCTCCTGCAAAAATGTTTTTGAAGTTGCTAGAAGTTAGTAATGCTTCAAGTATAATTGAGTCTTTTCCTCCACTTGGTGTGCTCTTTCTACAAAGCAGTTTTCAGTCTAACAGCCACCTTTCCCCCTGCCCTCCTTCCCTCACGCTTGCCATACTCCCTCCTCTGCTTGCACACACGCCCACATCCTGAAAGATAACGCAGCTCAGTTACTACTAACAATGTTGAGTATCGTGAGCTTCTCTTCTGTGTGTGCAGTTTGGTGCAGCTTTTCAGTAGCAACATATTTGTTGTCAAAAATAGTGGAGTAAAAGGCCAATTTTAAAACTGTAATAAAGAGCTAGCACTGACATAGTGATCAGAAACTTCAGTGGTCTTCTACAGTTGTCTCACAAAACTGAGTGTTTCTTCCTTTTCTTCAGGATGGCAACTAGCATTATGAAGAGCCTGATGGATCACTCTGTTCCTGAAGTCTAAACTTGCATCATGTATGTGCGTGTACATATATATAATGATGATTCCACTAAACTCGGGCTATTGTACTCAGTGATTTCTTTCTTCTGCACATGAGCCTTTCTGGAGGCTAAGAGAAGATATGCTGCATCAAGCATTTGCATCTATAATGGCTGGGAATGTTACAGTTCAACATATCTCGTTTATTCACAAACTGTAAAACTTGTAGCCTTATATGCTTGACAAATGTGAAATTCCAATTGTGTTATGACTTCTTTTTGTAGGTCTTTTATTTAGTTTATTACTACTATAAGCCATTGCAACTAAAGGAACCAGATATCACTTGCAAAGTTATGTGTTGTTACCTAGAACAATGCTGCGCTTTGTATGTTTAAGACAAATTAGTATTTTTGCTGCTTTCTGTTTGCAAGAGTAGATCTGAAATAGCATATTAGAGGTATGGCTAGTACTAGTTAATTTTTTGTTCTAGTAAATCCTGTTTACACAAGAATGCCAGCTAAGCTGAATATAGCTAAAGGCATCATTCAGTAAGTAAGTGTATTAAATAAAAGTAGTGTACAGATACTCAAATCTTTTTATTACTTGTTATACAAATTGTAACTAATATGCTTATCTCTCGCCTTAACCATGTTCTTAAGGATTCAATAATAACCAAATAAATGACTGAAACTTTAGATACTGTGTGTGCATACTTAAGAGGAGCTACGACAGGCTTGTTTAGTTGAGGTCAGTTTCAACCACCAGCAAAGACAAGACAGAAAATACAGTTTAAAACAGCTTTCTAAATAAGCTCCCTGCCTACAATGTTGAAATGTTTTAAAAGGGCAGATCTGGTGTACTTTAGACAAGATATGCTTAATTCTTTTCATACCTTCAGCTTAACTTGTGGGATAGCAGCCTAGTTGTTGTTACAAGACACATTATATAGTGGCCATTTCATTTTAAAACTGCAGCTTGCTGGGTGTACTGGGTCTGGTTGGGATGGTGTTAACTTTCTTCACAGCAGCTGGTGTGGTGTTGTGTTTGAGACTTGTGACTAAACCTGTGTTGATAATACACAAGTGTTTTTGCTATTGCTTGCAGTGCTTGCACAGTGTCAAGGCCTTTTCTGCTTCTCACTCTGTCCCCTGCCCACAGGGAGGAGGCTGGGGCTGCTGACCCAGACTGACCAAAGGAAAATTCTAAACCATTTGACACTGCGCTCAGCAATACATTGTGGGGAGTCCTTCCAAAGGAGCTGGGCTGTGCATCAGGGCTGGGGTGGGCTGCTGCTGGGGGGATGTGGTGGTGAGTGATTACCTTTGCATCACCTCCCCCACCCTCCTTTAATTTCTTTTCTTCCTCTTCATTTAGTAACTTGTGCTTCTCTTAACCATCCTGTTGTAGTGCAGGTGAGTGAAAGCTCAGCTGCTGGCTGTGGTCAACCTACCACACTAGGTCATTGGCATGTTCAGCTGAGACTTTAAGAAGTTAAGTGATCTGAAGCTAAATACCAGTCTCAGTGAGTGATTTCCTTTTTTTTAATGCTCTGTTCCAGGTTTCAGCTGTGCAATCTAGCATTACTGAACTTAACTTCAGAGTACTGTTAAGCTTAGCAGTGTAAGCTCAGCTGTGCCTATCAAGAAGAGTCTGCCTTGTAGCTTCCTGTTTCTCAAATGAATTTCTCAGGGTAGCTGAGGGAAAACCATTACACTGCTTCAGGCTGTAGTGGTGATCAAATTCATCCTGGAGCCATTTTAATTGGACTGTTTGGTTAGTAAATGATACGTCTCTGGAACCACTGTGGCAAGCACTTAACTGGCAGTAATTGGTGACTTCATGTAGCATTGGTATGATTCAGACTTACAGGCACAGGAGCTCTGGCCTGTAGCAGTCATGGCTAAGTTTCTTGGCAAGCCAGCTGGCTTAGCTATGCAATCCCCGGAGCCTAAAACAAGGTATTCTTGAAATGCTGCTCTATCCCTCTAACCAGTTTTTACTTAAGAGCAGATGATTCAGCAGAGGCCAGAGGAGATCCATTGGAAATAACAGAGTAGAACTCAGTGTTCTCCTTCCAGTTGTAGCAGGTACCACAAAAGAACTAATCAAAACTTCCTGTTTTCATGCAGAAACTAGCTTGCACTAAAGAGTAAGCAAGCAAGCTATGGTTAAATTTAAGTACACAGATAAACTTTGCCTTAAGCTGCAAGAAAATACTGGTCTAAATGTAATTCCTTGCATGCACCTGATTAAAACCAAAACCCCTTAACATAGTGATGATACAAACTAGTTACAGGGTTAACTTGATTCCCCCTCCTCCCCCCTTAAAAAGCTAAGGCTGCTTTAAGCAATGAAACAGCTGGCCAGGCAGGTGTAGAATGATTTTTCTGTGTTGTCTTTGCCTAAACATGGCTACATTTCTGCAATAAATATAATGAAAGGTGAAGAAATGGGCAGACACTAGTTAAACATTCTGCTGTGAGATTAAGACTGGTAATAGCAGGCATGTATGATACGGTTTAATTTTTTGCCGTGTGCCTTTACCACAGCCACTCACTGATTACACAGAAGTTCAGTTATTTGCTAAGCCAAGTAAGTAATGCAGCTGAAATACCAGTTTGCTTTAACATCATGCCACTACCTTATTGCAAAACTCCAGCATAATAAGAAACTGGGAGAATGAAAAAACAGCCCCTAACTGTAAACTAATTGTTTTACAATGGTAAAGAAACAGCTGCACCCTGAAATAGGTATTAGGTGTCAAACCCAGGGCAGGATAGCCGGAGACAAATTTAGACCTAATTTAGAAGAATGCTTGCCCTGGACACATTGACAGGGCATCTTAATACCAGCAGTAGAGAATACCATGAGAGAAATAAATATTGATATTGGGTCACAACATCCCATTACAGCTCATTGCTGTAATAAGCCATTTAAAGACTATTTCAAATCTTTAACTGCGGAACAGCTCCTTGTAGGAAATCGTATCCTTAAGTCCTACAGTGAAAGTAAAAGCCTAGTGCACCACTGTGGTGTCACTGGGTTAAGACAACAAGAGATTTGCTAAACCCAGGAGCTGTGGCTCTGTTTAAATGCTATATTTAAATTCCATCTCAAAGATGATACACCAAACAAAACATGAAGATGCTGAAGATTAAGAGAAGGATAGTAATAGAAATGATAAAAGGTAGTAGTAATCAAGCTTAAGACTAACTTCAGGCATGTTGTTAGGGGAAGATTTGTATCAACACATCACATTGTGTAACTGTTCTCTGTTAGGGGATCAATTTTAAGCTTGGCTTCCTTTCAGGCTAATA